TGTGATGCCATCATGTCAATATGGACCAAACTCCCTGAGGAATGCTTCCAGCACCTTGTTGAATCTATGCCACGAAGAATTGAGGCAGTTCTGAAGGCAAAAGGGGGTCCAACCCGTTACTAGCATGGGGTACCTAATAAAGTGGCCGGTGAGTGTAGTTAGTTGCTCACAGAATGTCATTCTTCCAACAGCATTCAGTCTGTTTCTCTTCTGTGCTGATCAAACAACTAAATATCTAATTGTTTTTTTGAGTATTTAATTAGGGCTTTTTTCACAGTGTCTGGTTTAAGGGTGATTTAGACAGTTAAATAATAAACAATAGATTACTAAACTATGATAATTTCATTCAGATCAATAAATAGGGTTAAATAATTTTAGGAAATAAATGTCGTACACGGACTGGTGTCTGTTTGTATAGTATGATTTTCATGTATGGTTCTGGCAGGATTATGAGATTGCTAAGCAAATAGTGGCCCACAGACTAATGAGAGACAACTACGCATTTTATGTGAACTTTTCTTAATTCCTGAGTCAATCCATACAGATGTATTTGGGAATAATGAATGACACCTATTCTCTCACTTAGCAATCAGTAGTTACTTTTGTGAACCGTCTCTTGGAACCATTGATTTGCAACAGCATGAGCCACAGTGGGCCACCATCAAAAGATTGATGTGTCATAATCAGGAGCAGCTTGTTGGTATTACCGGTCATACAGGTAGCCTACATGAACAGATGAGGCAAATCTGGAGTTTCACTTGTTTTTTTCTTCATTGGTCTAAAAACACTTTTTATTTGTATATTTCCTTTTCATATTTCAGCTTAGATCAAAGACATCAAAACAAATCAGCAGTCTGTTTCACAGAGCAGTTTAAACAAACTCAGACTTAAATCTATGACTCTGAACTGATCTATCCTGAGGTTGGAAACTAAATGGTGTGAGTTGGTTTAACAAGCCATAAGTAGGTTAAGGTGGAGTCAAGCACACTCTTATCGACTATGAAAAGCCTTTATCAGTGGAGCCCCGATTCAACCAGTCACCATATACAGCAAGTTTTATATCAAGTTCAAATGATGGGTATTAGTGTTACGGTATATTTATTTGGGTGCCAGCACATATAGGGATTAAAGGAAAATAAATTGTAGACAAGATTGCTAAGGAAACATCACAAAATAAAACTATTGATATGATGATTAACTTAAGAAAGACAGAAATTGAGAGTATCATTAAACAAAGGATGAAGGAAAGGTGGCAAAAACAATGGGAAGAAGAAGGGAGAGGAACATGGTTTTATAGGATTCAATAGAAAGTCGAAGAAATGAGGATAGCAGAAGGAAGCAGAAGAGAGGAAACAGTTATTTCAAGACTTAGAATTGGACATACAGGAATAAATAATACACTATTCAAAATAGGGAAACATATCAGGCAAATGTGAAATTTGTGGACAAGACGAAACAGTAGAACATGTAGTGATGTATTGTAAGAAGTATGAAGAAGAAGGGAAGAATTTGATTAGAGACCTAAATAAGGAGAAAGTAAAATTTAACTTCATAGATATTCTGCAGAAAAGGTTAAAAAAATGTTATCAATATTTATTTAAATATTTAATATTAACAGGAATAATTAGGAGGATTTAGTATACTTATAGTAATAATATATATAAGTAATATTACAGTTAGAGATATATAGATAAATAAATACATCAAATACAAGTATCTTTATGAATAGGGCCATTCTGATTAACACTCCTCACCAGTAGGTGGCGGTAATGCAGACCGAAAATATGTTTGCCAACCTCCATTAAACGCAACGCAACAAGACAAGTCAACCAGTCACCATGACAACAGGTAAGAGGAGGTTTGCGTATTTCACGCCACTGGAACTAGAGATTTTAATGCAGGCATACATGAGTTGTACAAGTTTTAAAAGAAAGAGTAAGAGCTCCTCAGAAGGCCAGATTCGAAGGCCGATTACGTCATATCGCGGCGCCGAGGTCTGGTCGGAGAGTCCTCGTTAAGCGGCCTTAAAATGCGTCCTTCTTTTAGCCTGATTTGAAGGACGGGTCCGATGTATCCTTGGTATCCTTGGTTTT